AGTAATGTGATTAAGGCATGATGCTGTATTTCCTTTTTATTATCACATTTGTTTTAACAAATATCATTAAATATTTACGTGGTAGAGCTACGCTGCAGCTATATTATGGTGATAGCATGAATGAGTCGGCTCGGCCAGGGTGGGACCACGCTCTCACAGAATACCAGCGTAAAATAGCAGCTTAATAGTGTTGTGTTTCGTATGGTGAGTGTAGAAAATCGGAGACCATTTTTCTGGAATCGAGGCATTCCATCTTAGTCCTCTCGAGTTACAATGCATCTGCATTTTGATTCTCAATTGAGGATAAATGTACATGTCTATGGGCCACAGTATTCACTTGTCATCAGATGGACTGTGAGTTCGTTTGTCACAATTTTTTTTATATACCTATAAAAACAATAATTGTCTACGTTGTAATTATTGTGTAAGACCTAGAACTTCTGTGGCTATTCAATAAAATTTTAACATAATGTATACGTGGTAGAGCCATGCTTCAGTTATATTAGTACCTAGTATAGTTGTATCACGAATGGGTCGGCTCGACCAAGTAAGGACAAGCGAGCACACAGTCCACCTGATTGTAAGTGGTTACTGCGTCCCATAGACATCTACATGTATCCTCGATTACGAATCAAAATGCAGATGCATTGTCACCCGTGAGGACTAAGATGGAATGCCTCGATTCTGGAAAAACGGTCTTCGATTATCTACACTCACCATACGAAACACAGCAGCAGTAAGTTGCTATTTTACGTTGATATTCCGTGAGAGCGTGGTCTTTCCTCGATCGAGCCGACGCATTCTTGCTACAACTATATCAGTAATATAGCTACAGCATGGCTCTACCCCGTATAAATCTATATAAATAACTTTAGATATTTATATAAACTTTGTTTTAGCTAACTGAAATACAAATCGTTGTCCTTGCCAAATACATGTCCACGAAAGAATATCATTATCTGGGAAATATTATACATAATCTGGAAACATTATTCAAAAAGTTGTTATTTATTTACGTCTTTTACTAACTAAAAGAAGTTTAAAAGGACTTTTATTTCTTTCGGAACACGTAGATACGGATGGAGAATTTTCTGTCCCTGAAAAGTTTTGAATAATATATGTTTATTGAACGCAAAAGAGTCCCAAAATAGGATTATTATTTAGATGGCTCGTTTCTAAGCGACTAACTTTATGAGTAGAGAGCACATTATTAACTTTGGCTTTGAGTTAGAATAAAGTTTGAGATATTAATAACATTTGAAGTTCTAAAAACGGATAGAAACATTTTACGTATGGAGTATAGGTAAATTTACGTTTCAATCTATTGTCATCGAAGTAATATTTTTATGTACCACGTACAATATAACATAATTAAGGACAATCTCTCTTAGGAGAATAGTTGAAAAAGTGTCCATCTCTAAGCAATAAATAACAGTTCAAAAACTCTCCACAACAGCGCTGGAGTAGTTACAGGAAACAGCTACATGAAATGAACTTAACAGTTGTCGATGGTGTGAAGTGTGCTGCTAAACTGCTCGGTAGCTCTAAAATCCAAAATAATTTTATTTAGTAAATATAACCTCGAAAAAGTCGTCTATCTATCGTAGCATAGTAGCATCGTAGCTATAGTGGCGCCACCCTTATTTAACGTTTTTCTACGGACACTTTTTAATACACAGTCTGTAACACGGAGCAAACTCCGTGCTCTGTACTCCTTTAATGGCACTTAAATGCCAACTTGCCATATAGTAGGATTTCTGAGCACCGATTTGACTTTTTGCAGGGCTATTATAATATTCTATATTAAATTTCATTTAATTATCTTAAATACAATGATTATAATATATTGCGATAATGCCCGTAAAATTCAGGACTTGGTAACCTTACTTACTACAACTTCCTACGCACGAGGTTGTTATTTAAATGTTTTATAAAGTCGCCATCTAGTTATAAACTCCAGAACTACTACGACTCTTTGTAAGACTACTGAACAGTCGTCTTTTCAATTTATTAATGTTTAGAAGCTAAATTAGATGGCGCTATAAGGGAAATATTATAGAAATAATTCTTTTTAAATATAATTTCCAATAGATTTTCAATTTTCGGACATTAAGATGTCCAAAATCGTTTAAATATAATACATTAGGATGAACTGAAACAGAAACACTTCAATATGTAGCAATTCATTATGTATATACGTACAACAAAACCTGATGGAGAGGACGCGGTAATTTTCCTGCAACGCTTCGATATTTTTGCATCTTTTTTTGGAATAATACTATATTTTAAAAAATGGTGGCAGCCCTATGAATCAGTCAGCCATTTAGTGGTATTTGGCTTAAGTAAAGATAAACGGTAAAAATTATAAGTAAAAAAAGGAAAAATCAATAATTTACAAAATCCTTTTTATTCACAACAAATCTTAAAATGTACAACAACACATTGGTAGTCTTATTTTTTATTTATATTTTCATTTTATTACACAAATCCAAATCTAACATCCGACATAATATAAGCATTGCAGAAGCTTAAAAAGTACGGTACTATATGTAGTTAATATTAAATACAATTAAATACTAATTACATTGAAATATTAAACACAATTCTTTACGCAAAAACTCACAAAACTATTTTTATACATTGATATAAAAATGATGTAGAGATCGTCTTAATTGAAATTACACGCGCTCCTCCCTTGTATTTTTGGTAGATTTTGCCTCAGTTGCCGTATTAAAATTCACACAATGTAAATCTGCGCGGGTATTCTATTGTTTTTAGTGGATTTTAGCAATTTGATTATTTATATATCTGACATGATTAAAAGTGATGAAATCTATATTCAATCAGGAATCATGAGTAAAGAGAGTCATATTTCTTATCATGGTGCAGACCAATAACTTTTATTTATGACGATATAGGTAACTTACACTAAAATATTTATTTAAATAAATGTAATGCAGTAATAATTTGTTAAATAATACATTTAATCAAATGCGCAATAATATATTTCACAGATTTTATCCTTCGAGATTATAAATCCGTAAAAGTAGTTTTAATAAATACAAACACAGATTCTTAACTTTAATTTATAGCATTAAAATATTAATCAATTTTAAATAAGATCACTTCAAATTTAAAAATAATCTTAAATACAAAATGTTTACATGCAATCATATAACATGATATTTCTTTAATGTATTTGTTACATTTCTTCCCAAGGTCTAACTAAGGCGAGGGTCAGCTTCTCGTTCAATTGAACGATCAGCAGTATTGTCCCTCGTCCTAAAGTTCATAGTACAAAAAGTCCTGAAAAATTAAATTTAGGTTAGGAATTCTTTCATATGATATAACAACACAGGGCACAGGCCTTCTCACATATCTGAGTGGGTTTTAGTGTAAGGAATGTCTGCCCCAATGCGTGTTGGTAAACTTCATATGTAATTGAAAAAAAAAATCAATTTCTTAGCCACACAGGTTTCCTTCAACGCACAGTACCAGTAGCGTAAGAATAGGCACAAATAGCATGCCGGGCAAAATGCCACGGGCCCCCAGACGAAAGGGTCGTAAAATAGTAGCTTAAGGCCGTTGTGTTTCGTATGGTGAGTGTAGAGAAAAGAAGACTCTTTTTACTGGAAACGAGGCATTCCATCTTAGTCCTCACGGGTGACAACGCATCTGCATTTTAATTTTTAATCGAGAATAGATGTAGATCACCTTGGGCCACAGCAACCACTTACCATCAAGTGGACTGGGTGCTCGTTTGTCACACTTATCGTATAAAAAACCTATCAGTGACATGAAGACAGCCATTTTTAAATGTAGATATAAGTCAAATACATGAAATTTAGTCCAGTACTGTATTATTATGTCATCTGTTCCAGTACGCTCTTTAAATTAAAAGTTATTTAAAAATCAACTAATTATAATAGCGTTGAATAAAACTATTTAAAAGGATTTTATCGCGTTTAATTAAGTGATGGTTTAATTCCCGACGTTTTGGGTGCTTTACAGCACCAATGGTGACGAGGGTAACTGAGATGTTTGACTTCCCAATCTCGTAGTTAACCCGGCTACCTTTAGTTTTTAAATATTATTAACTTTTAGTCCGATCTACGCAGAACGAGCCTACAGTATCTTGAAGTCTTGCAGTGGTATGGTTGGGTTTGGATTCAATTTTGTTAATTATGTGATCTCGAGCAGATGGCAGCACCATCTATCTTTTCTATTGAAATTAGGATGTTTTCTTTAATTTCGCGTGTCATCCCTGGTAGGGGTCTGTGTTCTTTTTTTGATTTGTGGTTTATCAAATCTGATGTAATGGTAGGGACAATCATGAATATGTTCACAGACTGCAGACTCCCGGAGCGTCGGTGCTTCACGTCAGCTATATCTTCTTTCACGCGGGTTTTAATAGATATTTTTGTTTGTCCTATATAAGAGAGACCACATTCACAATCTAGCTTATACACTCCTGGATCTTGTAGAGGAATATTACACTTGATGTATGGTAAAAATTGACTAATCTTCTTCGACGGCTTGTAGTATGTTTTAATGGAAACTCGCTTCAAGATGTAGCTAACCTTGTCTGTAACTCCTCTTACATATGGTATACAGCAGGCACACGCTCGACTGTGGCTGGTTTCACTCAGTCACTGTGACATAGGCACGGGACCCAAAGTTTGTTGTCTTGAAATACTTGCTTGGCGTGCCGAACCTCGGCGGCCAGATGTTTTCCGTCACAGATGCCTTCTGCTCTCTCTTTTTGCGTATTTTGGACTCAAAATAAATAATATTCAAAAACTAAAGGTAACCGGGCTAACAATGACATTGCGACGTCAAACATCTCAGTCCCTCCCGTAACCATGGGTGCTGTAAAGACACATCATGTGTTAAAATCCATTAAGCTATTCATGCTACAAATAGACAAATAATACGTATATACATACACTTGAAAAAACTTGACCTTCTTCTGGTTCAGTCGGGTAAAAAAGATAAAAATTCTAGAGATATAAATGAATACATACAATGAGGAGGCAGGTGCCTATTACGGCAGCCTTGAAGCACACGTCCAGGTCCACGGGGAACTCGATCACGTAGTTGTCAGAGCTCGTCTGCGCCTCGCGCGCTGTTCCGCTCCATTTCTTACTGATCACGCCAATCCGTTGCTTGCTCGTTGTGAACAACTGCAAAAAAACCATGTCTCCCTCTATGGTTTTCAAAAGATCTAAAATGGAATATTTTTTACTAAATAATACGTATAAATATATTATTTATAATCTAAATCGGATTAAGAAAGGAATGTTTCAGTGAATTGATCATATAGACAGAACAAATGAGGAAAGAGTTACTGTTACCAATAATGTAACAGCTTATAAAAGTCCACTGCTGAACATAGGCCTCCTCCATAGTCTTATAGGAGAGATATTAGCCATAGTTGCCACGCTTGGCAAGTGGGTTGGCAACCGCAGTTTTATGAGTACTCTTAACCGACGAGCATGTATTCATAGGTATATGGATGTAATGGAGGCAAGAGAAATGTGTCAATCATGCCAAATAGAAGTCAAGAAGATAGAAGAAAAGTGTGGTTTTCGAGATGACGTTGTGAGCAGGATTAAGAACGAAATGATTGGTTAGTTTGGTCATGTAGAAATAATGAATGGGAAAGAGTGACAAAGTAAATTTATATCGCCGAAGTGAACTACAAACTCTGGCAGGGACGTCGTCGATAGATGTTTATCGAACAATTTGTCGAATTATTGAAGACGGGTCAGATTAAGAGTACCCTTAATCGACGAGCATGTATGTTATGGATGTGAAAAAGGCGGGAGTCGTGTTTCAGATATGTACCGAATTGAAGTCCGTAGTCTCTGTCTATCCTTCTCGGTGACAAGGGTAGGTGCTTATGTAATTTGTATTATGATCATAAATTAATGAAGGCTTGTGCTCAGTTAGACTGTTTTTGAAGAGGTAATGATGACAAGAGTCACATCTAGACTCTGTGTACATGTTTATATGAGCTTGGTCCTTCGAGCTGGCCCATTCGTGCTGCAGCCATAATACACCTATAGCGTGCCATTACCACGTGGAAATTAAAATTATTAAAAGGTGGATATTTACCTCAAAGTCGCATACGTTAGTAGGAATCATGGGCCCCTTGACGCGGAAGGCAGGCTTGTCGCTTGCATCATTAATATTGATGATCGGCTTGCAGAAAGTCACCTCCTTACGCACTACGCTGACTGCCTTCCCACACACCGACACGTCCATCTTGACATCCAGCCCCATAGTAAATGGCCTCCGAAGTCTTATTACCTGAAAACCATTCATTACCACACTGTTGTTAGCTTGACCATGAGTAGTATCATCATCATGATCATTATAGCCCTTTACAAGTCAACTGTCGAACATAGACCTCCCCAAGGAATGCCACAAAGCACGGTCCTGAGCCACCTGCATCCATCGACTTCCTGCATGTTACTTACTAGGTCGTTACTTCATTTAGTGGAGGTCGCCCTACACCTCGCCTATCGATACGAGGCTGGCACTCAAGAACCTTCTTCCCCCATTGTTTATCGGTTCTTCGAGCTATATTGCCGGTCCATTGCCACTTCAGCTTACTAATCCGTTGACTGTGATCTTGAGTATGTATGGATATAAAGGATTTTTTTAACTAATTCTTTAACTCCCGGACGGAAAATTTACTAGTAACTAGGTATTCTATTGTAGTACTCAGTTCTATTGTAGATTTTGATTCTTAATCGAGTATGGATGTAGGCGTTTGTGGACAACAGACCACAGCATCCACTTACCATTACTATCAGGCGATCTGTGTATTCATTTGACACACTTACCGTTACTGATAAAGCCTGTCAAAATTCCGCTGCTGAACGTATGTCTCCTCCACATAGAGGGGATACTTGTCATAGTTGCAACGCTTGGCAGGTAGATTTGCAACCGCAAATTTTTAATTCTTTAGTTGTTATTAGGAAGATGCTGCTGCCCATCTCCTGGTTCATTTCCGTCTGTCGCCTCTTACGACACCCACGATACGATATGAGGTAGTGGCTGTTATTACACCATCGCTACACAGTCACCATTATTCTATATAAAAACATCGTATCTCACCTCATTTTCCTCAGTGTCGAAGATATTGATCTCGAAAGCGCGGCTCTTGCCCCCGAGCACTCTATCAAGTATACCCGAGTTCTCCTTAGCGTAGAACACTACGGAGGCATCCGGCGCCAGCACCACATACTTATTGTTATCGGAAGTGGTCACTTTTTGCCGGATCATGACCTTGGTTAAGCCGGTTAACATTTTAATACCTGAAACGAAAAGCATAAAGTAACAGTCTTTGAACTATCCACGCATGGGCACAGCTAATGGAATAGTAGGGGTTTGGCACAATGCTCTAGGACGTGCTTTGACTGTAATGTACTTTGATAATTTGGCGTATATTCAAACAATTTACAAAGATGTTACCGAACATTCTTTGCAATGTGTCCTAACGAATCATGATGATTTGAATTGTCACATTTATAACACAAAAGCCTGTGCCGTAGACTCTCCCCATAATTTTAGAAAGAAAAAAAGAAAATGTATTTATTACATGAAAAAAAAAACAACCACACAGAGTTACAAAAGACATTGTACGCTAAAGAAAAGAAAACTAAATCCTAAATAAAATGGACGCATTTCAATCATCGCTTTATTATGTTTCAGGCTTGCTATACAAGGGTTACACTCTGCCATTCAGCATAATTTCGTGGTGTTGTCCACGAAGCTGGTTCGTTCGTGTCTAGTGAGTAAAGTACGGACTAGTACGGACGAATATACACCTGCCACACATAAACATATAATGAGTAAAAAAAAGAAAAGAGATGTAGATGTTACCGATTTTATAACAATCACATTCCAAATTATTTACAAATATATCTATACTTTCCTTACAAATATATTTCTAACACAATCCGTTACCTAAATTTGTAACAATCAAAGATGTTAAAAATTAATTAGCTAAGATCCACGTAATAAAATAAAATGATGTGTCTTATTAACAAAGATTCGAGTAATAAAATAAAACGATGTGTCTTATTAGCTACGATCCACGTTATAAAATAAAACGATGTGTCTTATTAACTAAGATTTGCGTAATAAAATTAAACGATGTATCTTACCTAATTTGTCACCATATCATATTTTCACTTACTTTTCCTAACACCCCTGCTGACAGCTATAGTCAGCAGCGTATAGTCTATATCACCTGATGATGCCTCGTTTAGGGGCCAAACACGTGTCGTATTGTCGATGGTGGTATGTCTTTTTAGTGTAGTGGTGTCGGTAGTAATGGTTTTGGGATTAGTGCACGCAATTGTGGTAGAGGCGGGAGATGCTCATTTTATTTTATTATGTGAATCTTTGCTAAATAATGTTTTACATCTTCAATATTAGTTACCGTTACGGCCTATTAAATTCCACTGTTGAACATAGGCCTCCCCCATAGATTGCATCATAGGGGGGATATTTGCCATAGTTACCACTCTTGGCAATCGGGTAGGCAACAGCAGTTCATTTTTTATTTTAGGTCGTTATTAGGGAGACGCTACATCCCATCTCCTGATTTTTTTCTCCCTGTCACCTCTCACTCTCGCATCTAACGACACCCACGGGGTATGGGGTAGAGTACACCACCACTATTCGGTAATTCCATATATAGTATATGGAAATTTACGAAATATATCCCGTTTATTTTACTTTTTAAAATTCCCGAGAAATGTTAATTACGTTTTCAAATTTAATGTTTTAATTATTAATTTAGTTCGTACTTATAAATTGCTTATGATACTGGCTTGTTAACACGTCACTGGATAAAGATTTGAAATTTAAAAAAAAACATGAATTGTTCCATTCAAAAATAGCTCATGTGTTATCCGAATTCTCAGGCATACGTCATTCAAAAGTTTTAACATCTCAGAAACGTTCTCAGTGAATTAGATCAAACGATTACCCCTCCGACAGCGGTCAAGATATGTTTCTTAATTTAATTATTTTTCGATTAAATATTTGGACGTGCTCTGAAATATATTTATCATTGAGATGCCTTTGCCTCATAAACTGGACGCGCATTTATTTATCTTTAACAACGTTACTTTTCACTTGCTTTATAGTTTTCACACATGCATTTTGTTTTGGAAATTCAAACAGAAGTTCTTTATTTATTCCGGAATACCTATATAGTGCCACCGTGTAGTGCCGGTGTAAGAATGTCCACCACGTCATATCGTCCCATGAATGTCGTATGAAGTGACAGAGGGAAAATAGCGGGATATGGACAGCATTGTCTTCCTAAGAGCAGCTAAAAAACTGTGGTTGCCAACCCTTCAGCCAATTTTGGTGGTATTAAGCAATCTATGGCTAGGCCTATGTTCAACAGTCGACTTATCGTCACCCCTATAATCTCCGAATGGGTAGGTAAAGTCGAAAGAGAAGTGAAGAAGAGAACTTTGTGCGTAGTAGAGCCACGTTGCAGCTATATTATGGTTGTAGCACGAATGGGTCGGCTCGACCGGAGCAGGACCACGTTCTCACAGAATACCAGCGTCAATTAGCAGCTTAATACTGCTGTGTTTCGTATGGTGAGTGTAGAGATCCGGAGACCCTTTTTTACTGGAAACGAGGCATTCCATCTTAGTCCTCAGGGGTGACAACGCGTCTGCGTTTTGATTCTTAATCGAGGATAAATGTAGATATCTATGGGCCACAGCATCCTCTTACCATCAGGTGGACTGTGTGTTTGTTTGTCACCTCTCTACACCCTCCATACGAAACTCAGCATCGTCAAATTGCTATTTTACGCTGGTATTCTGTGAGAGCGTGGACCTTTCCCGGTTGAGCCAATACTTTCGTGCTACAACCACAGCCGCAGCGTGACTCCACCGCGTAACCAAAATTTTAAAATTCTTTGGCGACAATCTCTCCTCTGTGCGACTGTTTGCACAATGACTATTAAATGTTTAACATTAACCTACGAGTAATAACATACATATTAGGTGCTTACCTCTGAGACATTGACAATATGAACGTCTACAAAAGAAATAAAATTTCAATCATGTCTCAATAAATATTTAAAACAAAATCCCCTCTACTGAGTGGAAGAGTATATCAAAACTAACAAATTTATCTAGATTCTAAGTATATTTTATATATTATGTATAAGCAGTGTCCTTGTCAAATTTGCAGTGCCTGAAAAGGACGCCTAAGTTGTAAGCATATTTTTAATTTATGACCAATTATGTACAATTGTATTGCAAATAAATAATTTTATTTTATTTGATCATTTGTCCAAGTGACAATTATGTGTTTGATATTGGCAGTATGAATGTAAACAATGTATGTTTTATTTTATTTAGCTAAATATATTTCTTGACCCATTTTACATGTAAATTTTTGCTTTCAGCACTCTTCCATATAAACTTTGACTATGCCTAATCTCACACTTTTCCATCCTGCAATGTGCTTTCGCATCAAAGACAGTTGTCTAAGCCACATCTATGTGTCTACCATACATGAATGAATAAATTAGATGTCAGAAACTTACCTAAAGGAATTTCTTCTGTGGACATTTCCTCGCCGTTTTTAGCAGCTTGATGCATTTCTTAAATAACTTGTATTCGCTAAACCTTAGACTTCAACAGTTCAGGAATGTCACAAAATATAGATTACTCTTTTGGTTAAAGCTAAAACAAAAGTTAAAATAATAAAAAGTATTGTCCCAAATTTTCATATTATTTTATTTGTGTATTTATGTAAATACGTTTGGATTTTTTAATACTGGCAAATTTAGTTGTAAATTAAGGTTAGTGGTTGACTTCTAGCAATTCATTTGAACGACTATCGCTGGCCATGGACGAGATTTTTATTGATGACGGCACGACACGCAACCCCTAACCTTCCTGGAGATAAGACATATAAGTACTTTTTTTATAGAATAAAAGGGACAGACGAGCACACAATCCACCTGATGGTAAGTGGATGCTGTAGTCCATAGACATCTACATTTTTCCTCGGTTAGAAAAGTGTAAAAGTGTCGAAATTTTGTGCCTTTCGATAGAAGCTATGCAATAGCTTCTATCGAACAGGGCCTTGAGCGCGGGGACCGAATCCAGAAATTTCGTAACGAAAAAAACCTCACGCTCCCCACTCCGACGGGCACGGAGGTGTGGCGTTGAAAGCCGTGCATCGTCTAACGTCGTTTTAGTTCGGCAGACTTCGGCACTCCGGCACGGTGTTTGTGTGCGTGTACACTAGCTGATAACTCAGTGATAAAAATTCCTGAATAACCTACATGTATTATAAGATATTAAAAATATTTTAAACAATATTAACTTCTCATTTATTCAATAAGAGAAAAAAAATTGTTTTCTTATCGGTCACCACGCTCAAAAAGTGTAACTTGATTTAATATCAAAGACTTAACTGCATAAATAAAATAAATAAATAATTATAATTGCATAAGTTGATAAAAAATGCTATGCAATAGCTTTACCGCGGCAGTCACCGAGTGCCACACGTATTTTTTTTTTCTATTTCAAAAGAGAAGAAGCTTTCGTTTTGTTGTTAGATCCAAATTTGTCTATCATCATCACCGTCATTACAGCCTAATAAAAGTCTACTTTTAAAAATAGACCTGCCTATAGATTGCCTCTCTATATTTGCTATAGTTGCCACGCTATGCAGATGGGTTGGTAACCGCAGTTCCTTATTGTTTTAACTTTTTTTAGGAATATACTGCGCCTTTCTCATGTTTAATTTCCCTCTGTCGTCTGTTAAGTGTTAAGACAACAACGGTTTGACAAGAAAATCCCTCGCCACAAGAAAAACCTTGTCCGTGGTTAGCGATAGCTATTGTTCAACTGAATTACTATGAATGTATTACGTAGTTTCTTTAAAGTTGCCCTACATTTAAATAAAACTAGTTTTTGGTCCGCCACCCCCCACCCTCCATCCCCGTGAGCATGAGTGTCGTAAAGTGCTCGAAACGTCAATAAGTTAATATACGCAATAAAGTCCGTAAAAACTAGTTGTATTAAAATGTGTAGTTAAAAAGTTCGCGTAACTGTAGTGCGTAAGGGTAATGTCGTCATCCAGTTAATATGGTCACTTTCTTATAACTCAAAAACTATAGCCTTGTTTTCATAGTAGGCTCTGTGATATTATAGCTCTTCATCAGTCAATCAAATAACAAAGGGTCAAAATCAGTAAAAAGGGCGCTGCTTTATCGACGCCATTTTGACATTTGATATTATAGGAAATATTTTGTCGATTTTTTAGTATTGTGTTGTGTAGTAAGTTTTTTTAAGCCCATTTTTCGAAGTGTTCCTAATTATTGCCAAAGCTTGTTTGCTGTTTTTTTCTTAATATATCAGTAATAATTATAATATACGAATTTGAGTTTTTGTCACTGTTCTCTTCCTAGTTTTAGTTTTGTAGGGCGGCAAAGCTTAAGGTGACTATATTACCCTCACGTTCCTGAAAATCGGAAATCATTTTGCTCCACGTTGCTGATTAAAAAATATTTTCACGGATTGAGCAGTTTCAGTTCCCGTGTAACCGCACTATAACGAAATAAAATTACCTAGCGACAGTCGGCTAAATGTATGCGATGTGGCGCGTTGCTTGGTAACCAATAAATTCGTTGAAGAGCCGTCAATATTTACGCACTTTTAATGGATCAAACGAAGGATCAAATGACATGAGTTGAAATTACCCTACAAATTTCAGTTGTTATTAACAGTTTTTTATTAGCTTCACCTGTAAGTCTATATTAATGTAGCGAAATTTAAAAATGCAGTTTTCACCAACTTCCTTATGACTAAATAAGGTGTAATTATTCAGACGCATGGTTCTTACTAACAATGATGATGACCTAGTTTCTCCATCACAACTCGTTCTATTCGTGATGTTTAATTTATTTTTATTTTCAAGCTCAGCGAGCTATGAAGAGGATTATGCCCAAGGTTTCTCTGCGTGATAGACCTAAAAATGAGGATTTTTTTAATAGGAAAAGGGTGACTAACGAGCACACAGTCCACCTGATGGTAAGAGAATGCTGTGGCGCATAGACGTCTACATCTATCCTCGTTTGCGAATCAAAATGAAGATGCGTTGTCAGCCTTGAGAACTAAGGTAGAATGCCTCTTTTCCAGTAAAAAAGGGTCTCTGGTTCTCTACACACACCATACGAAACACAGCAGCATTGAGTTGCTATTGACGCTGGTATTCTGTGAGAGCGTGGTCCTTCCCCGGTCGAACCGACCCATTCCGGATATCCGGAGAAAAGGATTATTAACCTGAAGTGGCAATGAGGTGGTAGCTTTGCACCTGTAGACGAAGCTGAGGGCGTCCACTCACTAGATGGAGTGACGACCTGGTCAGACAAGAAGGAAGTTGATGGACTCACGTGGCTTAGGAGCGTGCTTTGAGGTATTACTTTGGGAATGCCTATGTTAAACAGTGGACTTGTAAAGGCTGTAATGATATCTGTCTGTGTATCCCCGCAAAAACTACGGCACGAACTTAAACTTGAAATTTGGTATTTTTGACATGATAGAGCCACGTTTCAGCCATAATAACAATAATGGTTCAGATCGAATTGCGGTCATGGCGGTCGGTCTCAACGCAAATTAGCTATCAACGTAGGACGGGAAAGTAGTGTACGAGTATTTGCGGAAGCACAGGTGCACTCTCCATACCCTCTTTGTCATAATCCGATGGGACAGCAACCTTGCCTAGCTCTATCTAATAATAATAATAATCATTTTCTTTTATATATTTATGCAGCTCAAACAGATGAGAAAACTACTTTTATACCGCACATAATAACAATGTCTACCAACATGTATACAACAAACAGCGGACATTCTCAATGGAGACTAGCGATCTGAGCAGAACAGGATTATAGTGCACGAGCGCGTACGTATGCAGACTTCGACACTCTGTTACATGTATAGTCCAATAGGAGGGTAGGTAATTCGACACGACGCGACGTGTGAGAGATTAGCCGCAGTAACAACGGCTTTACAGTACAATTCCAGCAGTTAGCCTAGTGATGATGATGATGATGATGACGATAATAATGAACTTGATTTAGGTTGTACACCATTATTTTAATATTAAATAACTTTAAGCTACAATTCCTTGTTTTATTTCACACTAAACCCTTTCACATAAATTATTTCGACTCGCACGTATTCTACTAAATAGTTTGACCGAATAAAAATCGAAATCGTTATTGTGGGAGGGATTATATTATCGTATTAATAAATAATTTATTATTAATTAGATAGATAAAAAAATGTTCACAATTTCAAATCCCCACAACATAAACTTGTAACTATCGATTGTAAGTTCTATGAGAATAATAATCGAATAGATTCATTAACGATTATACACCAGCTCACCTCATCTCTACAGTGAGCTGTCAAAATTATCAAGGTTTTGACAGAGTTTAGCTTGTGTTTATTCCTGATATTTACAGAGTATATATCATAATGATTTCTTATATTTACGCGAACACTACACATTGGTTAAAACTACTGTTATGGATTTTATTTTGATATTATTTTATGCGATAAAATCCATAAAAGTAGTTTTAATCAATGAGTATATTATATCACTTTTTTATCAATACATTATATATACATACATAAACATTAAATGTACTTAGATGCCAAAGTTAATATATTTATTTATTTAAATTGTTTTCGAAGTGTCTCGAGGTTCCAAACAACTTTTATGGCCCTCTTCTGCAAAACACAAATAGTTACTAAATCAGGCGCATTTTGCCATAACAAAATCCCATAAGATATTATGCTAAGGAAATAACTGAAATAAACTAATCTAGCTGTTTCGACACTAGTGAGACCTCTAATCTTTTTATCTTTTGCTAATTTTATCTAATGCTTGCTAGTTTAGATATATGGGACTTCACCAAAGCTTTGCGTCGAGTATATTGCCAAGAAAAACAGTGGAATCAACGTGATTTAGTTCTTCCCTATATAAAAACTCATTGTTATTCAGATTTTTAGCATTTTTTTTGTTTCAAATTTTATACGTTTAATTTTATTGCAGTTTAAATGTAGATTATTAACGTTAAACTAATGCACTACCTTTTAATTCACTTCGTATTTAAATAATTGCCTTTAATTGGTTATTAAATACCATCAGCAAAAATACTATATCATGATCAATAGAAGGTAAGTCATTAATATGGACTAGATACAGAAATGGACTGAGAATTGGACCCTGAGGCATACCGGTACTGGTAGCCCGGAAGAATTTTCACCATTGATAATAACTTTTTGCGTTTTATTAATGTCCTCTAGACCGAAACAACGGTCAGTATCAACGGAGACCAGCCATCTGTGCGGGACAGAATTAAAATGCTGAAATTTATCAAGCACAAGTACACTCTCTATTCCTTCACTTTCATAGTCCGATGAGATAGTAATCCGTCTCTGCCGAAGTTCTATGCTCTTCCAACGGCTTTATATGTTTTCTGAGGCACGGGGGTGAAACACCGCGAAATTCCTGACTCCAGGCTGATACTGAGAATTTGTTGACAAAAAAACCCAATAAATGATTATAGCCCGAC